TTAAACTTTTAAATAAAAAACGCAAAATGTATTGAGTCCTGGCGGTTACTCAGTATGTATTTTAGAAAATGTAAACTATAGTATTCGGAGGTATAAAATAAGACTAATTTTAATAAAACCACCACTTAAGGATTAGGGTCACTTCACAATGTGTGCAAAAGTATGCAGTAGAATTTTAAGTTCTTTCTTGTATTTAAATCTACTGCTGCATAGACACATTTAAAACTAAACTTTAAAAAAAATGGGGTAAAAATATAAAAGCGACCTATTTTTTAATATTGGTGCTAATGAGATTTAGCTAGCAAAAAGCCAAGTTGCCAACATTCTGTAGAACAAAGTCAAAAGCTCAATATTGAATGTTTGATGGCGGTGGCTGTTGACTACCAAGGCCCTTATCAAGGCTATTCATGGTGGGAGCGAGATAGCAGCTTATCGGATAAAGAGGGAGAGAAAGCTAATCCCCAAGAATTAATGACTTAATAATTGGAGCTGGCTCTGTTCAATTGAAGTCTTATGTTTTGCCACGCACCGCTCAAGTACTCCCAACTTAATTGCAGAGATCTTGTAAAGAAACTCACCTTGTTTATGTTATTACTGCGGTTCCTTCCTGTAATTTACAAACCGATGCCAAACAAGTAAAGATGTCTGCAAGAAGAGCAAAAATTCATTAGTGTTGACAATTATATTAATTAATTTAATGATACTAATTCGTTTTATTTTGCAAATAAAACAAACTCGTTTTTATCTGGTTTTGATTGGTATGCAACAGTGGCGATCAAAACAATAGCAGCAAAAAACAAAAATAAAATTAACCTTTAAATGCTTTTTTAGACCTTTGTATATATCATATGTATACCGATTGGTCATCTCAAGTGACTAACTTTAACAGATGGTTTCCAATACATTTTATAAACGACTTGTACTTGGAATAACTTGAAAAAAGTAGTTTTCTACTTTTAATTTATTAACCAACTATTATTTTGACCGTAGCTGTTACCTACATATGTATATATATTAATTTATTTGCATACACCCAATTTTAAAAACCAAATACCCCATATGAAAACAAAAATACACGAATCGGTTCAACGTCTTTGACTTCGTAAGCCGCATGCTGTTGTTGTCTTTATATTATTGTTGTTGTTGCCTTTGTGCTGTGCTGCTTTTATACTTAACCAAAGTCGTTGCCACTCGCTGCACAAAAACAACAAAAATAAACTGAAGCGGCAGCAACAACAAATTACTTTGACAGCACAAAGTTCTCAAGTGAACAACCTGAACATCGGGGAGCGCTACCATAAACGTCAAAGTCAACAAAGCGGGTCAAAACAGGCAAGCGGAAAGTTTTGGGGCGGAGAGAGTTCGGTTATAAGTATGATATGCAAGTCATAAGTTATTCAGAACATGGGGATAGCCCCTAAGCCTAGGTCAGTTCGCATTGGCCCACCCAAAAACTTAATCAACCTACCGCTGTTTTTGATAAACGAACCAGTTATTCTGGTTCATTAAAAATATATAATTCATTCAATTAATGATTATACTAATTACAACAAGTCTTTATTAGAATTAGTCTTTTAAATTTGAATAAGAAAGGATGATTATTTTGTGGAAGCAATGTTTTGATTAAAATATAAATATTATTCACATTATAATGTCTTTTTTTTCAAGATAACTGCTCGTGAATATGGGTCCCCTATCATCGTCAAGTGTTGATTTGCCTTATCACCAGTCAAGAATAGGGATTCGCAAAAAAATACCTGCAAATTAAAAATTGCTTACTCGACAACTTTTTACAAAAACGGAGAGGTCTTTAATCACTGCGTAGCACTGATAATGAACTATATCTATAAGGAGCTCAAACAAACGCGACGAAAAAACTCTTAAAAGACTATAAATTGAATTCGATCAGTTAGTTTCGATTTTGCACGCAAGAAGTGCGGTTAATGAGTGAACAAAATATAATCAGTATGATTGGAATATTCCTATTGATCAGTGCGGTCACACTGCTATTTGCCTATTTGAAGTGGACATTTAGCTACTGGGATCGTAAGGGTTTTCCCTCCACCGCAGTCAGCATTCCTTTTGGTGCCCTGGAATCTGTGGCGAAAGGAAAACGATCCTTTGGATTAGCCATACACGATTTGTACCAATCGACCAGGGAACCGGTAGTCGGAATGTATCTCACTGTAAGACCGGCTCTCCTGGTTAGAGATGCTCGATTGGCTCACGATGTGTTGGTCAAAGACTTTGCCAGTTTCCACGATCGTGGTGTTTATGTAGATGAAAAGAACGATCCCATGTCCGCCAATTTGTTTGCCATGGAAGGGGCTAGTTGGAGGGCCCTACGCACCAAGCTTACTCCCTCTTTTACCTCCGGAAAACTTAAGGCCATGTTCGACACCTCCAATTCCGTTGGAGACAAGTTAATAGCCAACATAAAGGCACAACTACCTGAGACAGGCATCAAAGAGCTGGATATCAAGAGTCTAACGTCAACGTAGGTTAAAAACTTCGAGTGAAATATAGAAAATATAAGGGTTTTATCAAACGTTTAAGACCATTAAACCATTTCAAATGCTTGCATCTCTCGCTATAACTGCTGACCTTACCAGAGAAAAAACGAATAAGCTCAATTTTTTATTCCTACTCCCAGCTATGCTATTGATATTATTGCCTCGACTATTTTCGGCCTTGATGTTGATAGCTTTGCAGATCCTAACAATGAGTTCTTCGCTATTAGCAAGAAGCTCAATCGCAACACTTTTCAGGATATTGTTCGGGGCGCAACGTCATTCCTTTATCCGGGGTGAGAAGTTGAAACATATTTTTTTAAAGCCTTCAAATCTTATTTTAAAAATAATATCCAGTTTGGAAAAGTTCTTTGTGAAAATTGGCTGGAAACAGGAGGCATTTGAACGAATGCGCGAACTATCCAATCGCACCGTCGACCTTAGGGAAAAGAACAACATAGTGCGTAAGGATTTGTTGCAACTCCTTCTACAACTGCGCAACCAGGGAAAGATCAATGCTGATGATTCCGTTTGGTCCGCGGAGAGTACTAAAAATGGCGTAAAATCTATGTCCAAGGACCTTGTTGCCGGGCAGCTCCTACTCTTCTACGCAGCTGGTTTTGAGACGACGGCGTCCACAACGTCCTTCACTTTGTACGAGCTCACCCAAAATCCTGAGGTGATGGCGAAGGCGAAGGAGGATGTACGCAGTGCCATCGAAAAGAACGGTGGAACACTTAACTATGATGCCATTTCGGACATGAAGTACCTGGAGGCCTGTGTTTTGGGTAAGTTTTGAGAAAAATGGGAAAGTATGTGATATGGTTAGAGAACCTTTTTTTCGTAACAATTTGAATTTCCTACAGAGACCGCTCGGAAATACCCAGCTCTTCCACTGCTAAACAGAATCTGCACTCAGGATTATCCTGTGCCCGATAGCAACCTGGTAATCAAGAAGGGAACACAAATTATAATCTCCCTTTTAGGACTGCATCACGATGAAGATAACTTCCCCGATCCGCTGAGCTATCAGCCAGAACGATATCTTGAAGATAACAAAAACTACAACCAAGCGGCCTACTTGCCGTTTGGGGAGGGTCCAAGAATGTGCATCGGTAAGAAATAACTAGAATATACGGGGTCAAATCGTTGTTTAACTAAAATCCAAAGATATTACCAGAATTCTTGTTTGTTCCTAAACAAATTAGTGTCTATTTAAAACAAATTTCTGGTATTATTTCTTTGGTTCGGGATATTTATAATTAACACACAATGTTTTCCCTATTTTCTAGGCGCCCGCATGGGAAAGGTCAATGTAAAGATCGCGATTGCAAAGGTTTTGTCGAATTTCGATATGGAGATCTGCAAGGAAAAGCGTGAGATTGAATTTGGCATTCATGGAGTAACGCTGATGCCAAAGAATGGCATTCCCATTCGATTCTCCCTCAAAAAATAGCCGACATATCTAAATAATAAAGCTTAATTTCGTATACAAAAAAAATTGGACAAACATTTCATTTTAATTTTAACTTATCTTTTAAAAACTTAAAGATATGATAATAAATTTCATGAAAATACATTTTAAGATCATGATCAAAAACAAACCTAGAGCTTTCAAAAAAGAAGCTTCGCCAAATTTTAAATCTTTTTAAAACCGTCTGCATATCATTAAGTAAAATTACATTTGTTCAAGTTTTGTTTAATTAGTTCGCTAAATTTTGTATATAAATAAAGCAATTTTTTATGCAATCATTATATATTTTTCTAAAAACCACGTTTTATAAACAAATGACTGAAGCGTAATAGCAGAATCCAACGATTCAATCAGCATGCATCTATGCATGTAACGTAAGTTTAAAAAACAAACAAAGTGGTTTGTTTTGCCAAGTTAAATAAGGGTGTAGCAAATGCAGCCAATGTGAAATATTGGTCACAATATACTCACCAATTAACAAGTGTACAGTTTGTTCTTTTGTTCAACTATTTCATGAAATTTGTAATATCAACTTGGGTTTAGGTGGCAAAATAACTAGTCTCTGGGATTAACAAATCAATTTACTTTAAGAATTTCACAGTAGAATAATTTTACTAAAAATCAAATTTTTTTCTAGAAAAAAGAATAATTTAAATAAATATTAATATTTTTTTATGTTAAAATGTATTTATTATGCTTTTTTAATTATTTTAAATTTTGTTTCCTCATGTACAACTACAATGTTAGAATAGAAATGTTGTTATTGTATTATGACAGATAATAGCCAGCAGCCTTCTAAAAACAAGTTTATATAAAAAGCGAGTGCCCGCCCTGTCATTATCAAGTGGAACTCCTAAATCGCCGTGTCACACTGAGAAGGCAAACATAGTCAGGGAGATCTTCCAGGCAAGCAGGCAGACTGACCGAACCTACCTCTAAGGGAATCGATAGTTTCAAGTGGCTTTGTTTACGTCCGTTTCGAGAGATAAGGGAGAGCTCTCTAACGACTATAAATCGGCAGTGTAGTCCGACCAGTTAGTTTCGATTTAGCGCGCTAGAAGTGCGGACATAGAGTGAACAAAACAGAATCAATATGATTGCAATATATATACTGATCGGTGTAGTCACATTGCTGTATGTTTACCTGAAGTGGACATTTAGCTACTGGGATCGCAAGGGTTTTCCCACTACCGGAGTGAGCGTTCCTTTCGGTGCCATGGAATCCGTGACAAAGGGAAAACGATCCTTCGGAATGGCCATCTACGATATGTACCAATCGACGAAGGAGCCGGTCGTGGGTCTGTATCTTACTTTGAGACCTGCTCTCCTGATAAGAGATGCTCAACTGGCTCACGATGTGCTGGTCAAAGACTTTGCCAGTTTCCACGACCGAGGGGTTTATGTCGATGAGAAGAACGATCCCATGTCAGCGAGTTTGTTCGCCATGGAAGGAGCAAGTTGGAGGGCACTACGCACTAAGCTAACACCATCTTTCACGTCCGGAAAACTAAAGGCCATGTTTGAGACCTCCGATTCTGTCGGAGACAAGTTAATAGCCAGTATGAAAGCACAATTGTCTGAGACAGGCAGTAAGGAACTGGAACTTAAAAGGCTAATGGCAACGTAAGTTACAGGGTTAGGTAACACATGATTTGATTGGACAATATAGTACACTTTACATTGAGTTCAATTACTTTTCTTTTTGAATTACCTAAAATACTGCGTGTTTTTGGTAAAAAGTGTGTATAAATTATTTTTAATTGAAGAACTCAATATAGTTCTTGTTCCCTAGAGATTTATTTTAGCAGACCTTATACTCAACTTACTCCTTAAACGTATACTAATGAAAAATATCCCAAAAATTATTCTTAATGACCCTAACTAATTGCAATTGGCGTAAACAAATATTTTTTATAACTGTGATTATCTTATCTGGTAGATAACTAACGAGCTCTTTGTATATTTCCCCAGCTATGCCATCGATATTATTGCCACGACTATTTTTGGCCTTGACATTGACAGCTTTGCAGATCCAAACAATGAATTTCAGGCCATAAGCAAAAAAATCAATCGTAACAACTTTGAAGATATTGTTCGTGGAGCAGCTAGTTTCCTTTATCCCGGGTAAGACTAAAAACTGAATTAAGATTAATAATAAAAATCATAAAACTTATATGTTTTAACCTATTTTAGCCTCGAAAAGTTCTTCGTGCGAATTGGCTGGAAACAGGAGGCCAATGAAAGAATGCGAGAGCTGTCAAACCGAACCGTCGACCTAAGGGAGCAGAACAATATAGTGCGTAAGGATATGCTCCAGCTCATGCTGCAATTACGCAATCAGGGAAAGGTCAACACTGATGATTCAGTTTGGACAGCGGAGAGTACTAAAAATGGACTGAAATCAATGTCCAAGAATTTGATTGCTGGTCAGCTATTTCTTTTTTACATAGCGGGTTACGAGACCACAGCATCTACAGCAGCCTTCACTCTTTACGAGCTGACCCAAAATGCAGAGGTGATGGAGAAGGCGGCTGAGGATGTACGCAGTGCGATCGAAAAGCACGGCGGAAAATTAACCTACGATGCCATTTCGGACATGAAGTATTTGGAGGCTTGTATTCTGGGTATGTTGTGACCAAATTTCATATCATTTTAAATTCAACTAACTATTTAAAATTTTTCTACAGAGACCGCTCGCAAATACCCAGCTCTTCCACTGCTAAACAGAGTCTGCACTCAGGATTATCCTGTGCCCGATAGCAAGCTGGTTATCAAAAAGGGAACACCCGTTATAATCTCACTCATTGGAATGCACCGGGATGCAGAAAACTTCCCCGATCCACTCAGCTATCAGCCAGAACGCTATCTGGATGATAACAAAAACTACAACCAAGCGGCATATTTGCCTTTTGGTGAGGGACCCAGGATGTGCATCGGTAAGCAATTACCCAATAACTTAGGCATTTCAAACAAAAATATATTTAAACTAGCTTTTTAAAAATTAAGTTTTAATTATCTTGGTTTTTGGAATTGAATAAATTTATAATAATCCAGAAATGCCATTATACCGAATCCAAATTCTCGTATATTGATCGAAATGGCGGGTTTAATGGTTCCAATTTGACCAAATGATTTAAAATTGTGGTCTTATCTGGGAATTTAAATCTTTCTCTCTCTATTTTTCAGGTGCCCGCATGGGAAAGGTGAATGTGAAGATAGCTATTGCCAAGGTTTTGTCGAATTTCGATCTGGAGATCGGCAAGGAAAAACGTGAGATTGAATTCGGCGTGAATGGAGTTCCGCTTATGCCTAAGGACGGTGTTCCCGTGCGTCTTTCCCTCAAGAAGTAGAGCTTAAACTTAGATTTTAACCAAATAAATCGTAGAAAATAAACTGCAATTTGTATAGAAAATTTGGACAAACATTTCAATTGGATGCACTTCTCTCTCGCACGCAGACACACACACACGAACGCAGACTCGTACGCACCTTTGTAAATGTAAATAAATTTTAGTTCTCTGCTTTACATAAGTCGCGCTATTTACTACACATTTAAGGGGTATTTAGTAAACTTTGGCTGATCGACTGCACTTTTGCAAGTGCCCAGAATCTCCATATGACCGGGAAATGCACTTTTTCCAGATATGACAACACAATATGGCCGAAAAAATACTCTTTCACTTTTTCCAGGCCAAGTTGTGTGAACTGCGCCACAAACACACACTCGCGCACGCACTGGGAACACGCACACTGTCGCACTCGCGGCGATGACGAAGGCCGCAATTAAAGCACTTTATGCGGCTAATTTGACTGCACTAGTTTAGCTGCAATTCTTTGCTATTACTTGCAAATTTCCAAATAAATACGACGAATTTGGCAAATCAGCGAATCACTCGCTTCCCATGCTGCGGCACACACTCACACGCTACTCCCACACCGACGCATACATATGTTGTCGCCGGCGATCCGGTAACGTCGCAGCAATGCAACTCTGGCTGGCCATTTGGCGGGTTTGGCTGCTTCCCGCCAAATATATAATAGCTATTAAGTAATGACTTAGTTTTTGATTCTTCTGGACTTAAGTTGTCGAATCGACAATATTAGAATTCAGTTATTAGTTTATAATTTTTGGATGCAAATAAATTTTAATTTTCATAATAAAAATAGGCTAACCTTAGATAAACCAAGAAACTTAAAATTTTTAACTATTCTTTGATGGTTAAGTTTTAATTTTTAAATTCCCAAATGAGTTTGAATTGAATAATTAATATATAACAAATATATAGTCATTTACCAGCTAAAACTATATAGTTTGTGTGTCAGCACTGCTATCCGGTGCAGCTCAGTTCGTGTTTTCCCCGCAACTGGGTGGCAACTCCCTTGTTTTTCTCTGCTGATGAAAAAGTTGACCAAATAAAATCAATTAAATTTAAATTGCAGTAAAAACCAAATTATCAGTGAAAGTGCGGGTGCACGAAACTCAAAAAACCTAGTTTTACAAGGAATCACGAGGTCGAAAACCCGAAACCCAGAAGGCGTACGTGTGTTTTTGTGTGTAGTCCGTAAACGTCACACATAAAGACGAGGCTCACGCACACAGGGAAAGAGAGCGGAGCCCGACTATTTACTTTGATCACCACGTAGTAACTAGTTAAAACTAGGGTCAACTAGTGATTACGGCTAAAAGGCGACATGGACGGCAACAAGGACGAGGCACAACGGTGCATCGATTTCGCGGTCCAAGCGCTCGCCGAGGGCAAGATCGAGAAGGCTGAGAAGTTCCTGCTCAAGGCGGAAAAGCTGTTTCCCACGGAAAATGCAAAGAGTAAGGATAAAGGGACAGATCTATACTTCCCCATATAATTCCCACGACCAACTCAACCTATTTTCTTGACAAGACATTCGGTAATCTTCAATGTTCGCCCTTATCTATAAAAACAACAATGATATTTTGCACGTTGTTAGCAAAGGTGGCCCAATAATTGTCTCCTAAGTGCGTATTAAGCCAGCAATCTAACAAGTTGATAACAATTTCTTCGAAACTACTTTTATTGCCCCGATACCTTATACATATTTTTGTATATATAGTATTGTGACTTAGATTAACCATTGTTATACAATAATTTCGGGCAACTTACCAAGCTTTATTCAATGATCTTAAGAACAAAAGTTATACAACTACCGAAAATGGTCTATATTTGAATATAACTCATTTTAAACAACAAATGACATATTTATAATACCAAATTGAGGGTTCTTACGTTTTTTTAAAACTTACTTAATAATCATTAAACTCTTATAATACACACATATTTGCCCTCTAAACAAGAATAACATATAAAATAACGTTTGATCTGACTTGTGGTTATCCTTCTATAACTTTTAGAACTACTGGCCCAGGTGAAGAGCACATCCGGTGGCGGCAGCAATGGCAAATCCCGCTCAGGAGGTGCTAGCGATGAGAAGGATAGCGGTCCTAGAAAGCGGGTAAACTCCGATTCGCGCTCTAATGCTCCGGATTACACCAATGATCAATTGGAGGCGGTGCGAAAGATCAAGAAGTGGGTTCCCTTTTTTAATTACAAAAAAAATAATGTATTTTAATAAGTTGTTTTTGTTATAATGTTTCTAAGAAATGTACAGTCTGATCTGCTTCGAAATTGAACTTAACTATATTTGTACTAAAATTTTGTAGATGCAAGGACTACTATGATGTTTTGGGCGTGAACAAAACGGCAACAGATTCGGAAATCAAGAAGGCCTACAAAAAGCTAGCTCTGCAATTGCACCCGGACAAAAACAAGGCCCCCGGATCGGTGGAAGCATTTAAGTCTCTGGGCAATGCTGCTGCCGTGCTCACGGATGCCGAGAAGCGCAAGAACTACGACTTGTATGGCATCAATGAGTCGCATAGCGGTCACGGAAATAATGGAGGAGGCGGTCACCATAGACATGGCCAGTCTTACGAACAACAATTCCCGCCTGATATCAGTGCCGAGGAGCTGTTCAACATGTTCTTCAACGGCGGAATTCCCCAGCAGAATGTATTTATGAGGCAGCAGCGACGTCGGCATCAGGCTCGCGAGGAACGGGATGTAAGAAAACAATCTTAGGAACTGCTATTATTTAAATTGTAATAATTGATTGTTTTTAACATATTCTCTTTTTAATTCCAGGGCAATAACTCTTCGGCTTTGATTAACTTGCTGCCTATCTTGCTGCTAATTGGTCTCTCCATGATGTCGTCGTTCTTTATCTCAGATCCCATGTACAGCCTGACGCCCTCTCAGTAACTAAACCCCAAAACCATCTCCAATGTCCAAAGCTAATTAAGATCCTTTCTATATCCACCAGTAAATATTCTGTGAAGCGTGAGACGAACGCCCTGAAGATACCTTACTATGTGAAGGACAACTTCTATTCAGAGTATCAGGGCTCTGTGGCCCGATTAGAGGAATCCGTAGAAGAGGACTTTGTCAATCATCTAAAACACTCTTGCAGTCGAGAGCGGAATTATCGTAAGTTGAGCGAGCCAAAAACAAAAAAAACATACTAATAAAGTGCTTTTCAGGCGACTCCATGCTGGCCAAGGCGCGTACCTTTGGCGATCGGGACCTGTACAGAAAGGCGCAGAACATCAACACGCCGTCGTGCGAGAATTTGCAAAAGTATTTAATTACATAACTTAGTTAAAGCTGCTACACGAAAACATACTTCCCTACCCCCTTTTTAAGCCTTAACCAGGTTGTAGTCTACCTTATTTGCTTTAGTTGTTATAAATGAATTTCATTGTCTGTTTTGTTTCATAATTTATATGTATATTCCTACTACCTCCCTCTCTCCCCCATTCAAAACAAATCGGAATGAAACGCATAGAACTGCTACGAGCCGTAGAGTGTTCCCCAAAAATGTATGGTAGCACGATGGGTCGAGCGATCAATATTATTTCTATAGAGCAATCGGCAACATGTGAGAGCGAAGCAAACGCAACTGCCAAAAAGTCATATACGAGTATACATAAGTGGGAGGCTGAGACGAAGGACTACTGTTTTTTCATTTAGATATCGGATAACTATAAACAAAAATTATACGAGAATACGCATGATCACATATTGATAGTCAAAATGTCAACGGTTTTTCTTAAGGACACGAGCGCATGGGCAGTGGCGATACTCTAAATAAAATTGCAAGTTATTATTACACCAAAAAAAATCCTTTGCCGAGGAAAAGACTTGTTCACATGTGGGCTTAAAAGTTGTTTTTCTTTGCTAGAGTTTATAAATGTACAAATAAAGCAGTGTTACGCTACATAAAAGAAACAGACGGCGGTTAGTCCAGGTTCCCCAAGCACCTCAGTTGCTGATGATGGCTTCCAAGGCGGCTACCACATCACCGCTCTGTTCGCGGAGGACTTTTTCGGCCTGCGCCTTGCTAACCAGCAGCTCATTCATCTGTGAAGGGAATAACCGAAGGAAGGAATACATTTGGAGGAATATCTAGATGAATGGCCGAGTCAAAACTCGCTTGATGTTTGGGTACGTACAATCAGTTCAATATCCTCCTTCTTGACTTGGACTTTTTGTAGCTCTTTTTCCTTGGCCACTCGCAATTCGTTCTCCTTGTTTCGCTGGTTGCCAAACTGTTCTACGGCCTGTAATTATTTGGAAAGGTTATACCTGCTTACCATTGGATTATCTTGGTTATAGGGCAACTACTTACGCTGGATATATTGGCCGCGGAAATCTCTTTCTCCTCGGCGTAGTCCGTAACACGTTCCAAATCTGGCGACAATATATATTACAAATTTATAAATGGCTCATGACACAAAATTACAAAGTTTAAGCCGCCAAAAATAAATGGCACTCTAGTTCCTCATATTTCGTAGCTAGATGACTCTTTTTTGCAACTTTTTTTAGGGGTGGGTGGGGGATTTGTTAAACATTTACCTGCGGCGCCGTCGTCATGTCGTTTCACGTCGGATTTCTTTTGTTTTTGATCCTGCTCATCATCTTCTACTTCTTCTCGACCGTTAATTTCCTCAGCTTCCGTCATTTCCAGTACTTCCCGTTTGTTTTATTTAATAAACTATCAGAAATTTTTACAATTTGTTCGGCACCTCGTGCGAATAGGGATGGACAACCAGCGATGACACTATCGATATAATTTATGTTACCACAGTAACGATGGTTTTGGCGATTATCGATTATATTCTGCAGAGCTGCCACCTTGTTAGGTTTAGATCGGTGTTCGGTAGCCCTGTTTAAAAGCGCGCGCAGTTTGATCTGGTTTTTTTTTTTTTATATTTGTACATTTACAACCAAAGAAATAGCAAAAGCATCAAGACGGTCAGAAATATTGTCATTTTTTGGGGAACAATTTTAAAACATGTACTTTTGACAAGGAAAGCTTAGC